AAGCAGTCTGGAGCATGGTGGTGGTTGGGTAGTGGACTCTGTGCCAGGCTGTTTTCACTTGGGGTGCTCAAAGAGTGGGGCAGGTGAGAGCCGTTCCCGCCCCAAGAGACTCAGCCCTGGCAGACGACCTTCACTACTCAACAGTGGCCATGCTACAGGCTGCTTTTCGGATGCTCTGGCTGAGCCTCACACATGAAAAAAGTCCCACAGAGCCCAGGTAATGCAGAACTTTGTGTCTTAGAATCTGGGCTCAACGGGACCCGGGAGCAGAGATCCTCTGCCTGCTTCCCCCAATCTCCGGTGACCCAGGGGTCACACCCAGAAGCCACTCCCTGCTGGCACCAGATAATCTCCTCACCCGCCACCCTCCAGAACACATGGCTGCTTCTCCCGGAAAGGAGCATAAAATGAAGTTCCCCAAACCATGCCACCGGACTCTGGGCCAGGCTGTTTTCACCCGGGACACCTCAGAGTGGGGCGGGTGAGAGCCTTCCCTGCTCCAAGGGACCCATCCCTGGCAGCTGACCTCCACTACCCAACTGCCATCAGAAATTAGAAATTTGGAAACATTGTCATCTATATTGTAAAATAATGTGCACACATATTTACATATACACAGTACTGTTTCCTCATCCATCCCTCCTTGCTTTTAGAATGTAATCCTGTGACTGATAAATTTTCTCACTTATGCTCATTTTTCACCCTTATAAAATTCAGTTTTCTTGTTTTATTCTATATATGTATATACATGCACAGATGCAGAAAGAAAACAGAAAGACACAAACAGACACACAAACTTATCTGAGGCTACTAACCCATCAGTGATCTTGGGCTACATCAGGCTGGGTGCTTAGGGGTTGTTCAACTTGGTGCTGGGGAACCATTTCAGAATTAGAAATTAAACCTGAGACTCCCACATGCACATTAGCCCTTTGAACTATCTTTGGTCCCCTCTGCCGTGCTCTTCCTTATCATTAGTGAGAAAAAAATGTGTATGTTGTGTGTAGAACAGGAGACAGAGGTGATGAATTTACTTCTAAAAATACCATTTTTCAGGTGACAGAAAAAAGTCTGGGCTAAACTTAGCTTTCACATGAAAGGTTTTTTTCTTTATTCCTTTTGATCAATATTATATTTACATAGTTTTAAAAGCATATATAGCCTTTTAAAACTGATTAAATCTTTTCCCTTAGGGACACATCCAAATAAGCTCAGGGATCACCTCTGCTAGGCTTGGGAACCATGTGGGGTGCCAAGGATCGAATCTGGATCTGACTCAGGAAGGCAAGTGCCCTACCCACTGTGCTCTCATTTTGACTCTAAAACAGAGTACACTTTACAAATAAGCTTTAAAGGCAATTTTGTGTTGCCTAAAAGTGAAGATTTCTATGAAGGATATGACTATAATCACAGCATTTTACTATTTAATGATACAATTTTTGAAGAGCTAAGTAGGGTCTCAGATTAGACGGCTATCCACTGATTACAGCTATACAATACCTCTTGAGGAGCTGTGCAGATAATTGACTTTGTTCTCTGACATCACAAAGCATCCTAAAAAAACCAAGGTGATCCTAGATATGCCCCCATCATCTCTAAAACACACACACACACACACACACACACACACACACACACACACTCTGCAAGGCCCAAGAACATACATTTTTAACATACTACCGATGGTCATGGCCATGGGATCACCGATACAAAGATACAAATATCAGACTAGCAAGAGCTTGAGGTTTAATTTTCTACTTTATCCCCAATTTTATTCCCATGGTCTAGTAATGCTTATTACATGCTTATTCAATATTGTGAAAGATTAAGATGAATATAGGGAAAATGCTAAGGAACTGGGCACAACTTGAATTTGGTTCAATGGTCTTCATACTATTTCTACGAGCTATAGCATCGATATTGTTTTGAAGGCCCACGGAAGTGGCATTGCTACTCATATGTTTTATTTTTAACTCAGAGATTTCTCTGTTAGTAGGTAAGATTATTGTATAAATAGGTAAGGTTACTGTCAAGACAAAGTGCCCCTAGAGTTGTGTCAGTAGATTCCATTTACTGGGCCAATGACCTGAGCAAAGCAATTTATTGGTAGAGAACAAAAACACTGAAAATGTCACCTAGAATAAAGAATCTGGTTCTAGAAATACAATTATGATTCTAATTTTAAAACAGTAGTAAATATTGCACAGTGAAATGATTTTTAGAATGCCAGAGAGTAGGGAAAAATAGTTTCCAGAGAAATAGTACAAGGTTAAGAAACTTGCTTTGTGGTTGACCCTGATTTTATCCACAGAATCAGATAGTTCCTTGAGCACTGGGTCAGGAATAAACCTTAAGCACCTATGAGAGGATATGCTTTTTAACCACCCCCCCCACACACACACACAAAAATAAAGACTAGGAAAATTAGATGTAGGCACCAAAAATCTCATTATATATAGCAACATATGAAATTTTCTTATTTTTAATAATATACATGATAATTATGCATTTTGCCATTTTCTAGAACATCAAAACTCTCAGTGTTCCAAGGCAATAAAATTTTGACTAATGGTTCTACCATCGTGCTCCATCAATTTGGAATTTTCAACCAGTTTAGTTGAAAATTCATTTTTCTATAAAATAAATTGTTGATTACATAAAAATATAATAAGTAATAGGCCCACAAATTTTAATATGGTTTTCAATCCCATTATGGACAGAGTCACACTTTAGTGCCACTGAAATAAAGAATAACCATTCATCTCTAAAATGCAAATACAAAATGCTGTGAATTTTCATTCTAAATTCTTAATTACCTGCCTAGAGAGAGATATAAAATAAGGAATCTAGGCCAAGTTCATGAGGGGTTTAAATTACTTTTCTTTTTCTAATGAGCAACAAAGACTCCTTAATGTTTGAAGCTGCTGTGTAGACATAATGAACTACAGAATAAAACATTAGAACTTGAAAAGGAAAAAAATAAAACACAACAAGGGTTCAGGAATTATATTCAATATATGCGGGAAGAACCAAATCCAAAAGGTAAAAACTGTGTGCAGTTTTACCAGCCAATGGACAACATTAATATGTTTAAAAGCTAAATCTAACCAGTAATTTTATAATAAAATGAAAACTTCATATTAAGTATCCGAATATGTACAGTTCTGAAATTCCATTTTTGAGGATCTCCTGCCTCTAATGATTCACAAGCATACATTTCCAATATTCCTGTTTATGTAAGCATTCATATCAGTAAAACAGCACTTGAATCATAGTAGTAATTCATGAATAGAAATGTCATGAAAGGGAAAAATCATATAAATGACATTCCTTGGGTTTTCTGCCAAACTAGAGATGGTAAGAAGTTACTTCTGGCTCTGTGCTCAGGAACTAATCCTGGTGGTGCTTGGGGAATCACATGGGATGCCAGGAATTGAACATGAGTTAGCAACATGCAAGGCTCTAATCACTGGATTCTAACTCTGACCCAAATAAAGGTCATAATTGAATTACCGAAGCGTAGTATTTTAAATTTATTTTAGGCCTAAGAGAAAACATTATAGAAGAAAAACAGCAATAGATTTAACTTTGAAACAAGGTGAATACCAATTGTCACTGAAGGGATTTAGTTATTGTCAAATAAGAGTATTAACAGCATTTATTTCATCAATAGATATAAAGTGGTGAATCAATCTGCAGTTGAAAATATTAAGTTTAAGCAAGGAGCGGAGGATATGGTTTTAATTCAAGAAAATAAAAATGAAACATCAATTTCTAATGCATAGAATTAACATTGAGCTAAGTAATATTTCTCAAGTTCTTTCACAAATTTTTGTAAATGGTAAAGGTAAAGGCCCGCCCGTTGTTTGTCGATTTGCTCGAGCGGGCCCAGTAACGTTTCCATTGGAGACTTTGTTGTTACTGTGTTTGGCATATCGAATACTTCACGGGGAGCTTGCCAGGCTCTGCCGTGTGGGCGAGATACTCTCGGTAGCTTGCCAGGCTCTCCGAGAGGGGCGGAGGAATCGAACTCAGGTCGGCCATGTTGGCTGTGTGCAAGGCAAACGCCCTACCTCTGTGCTATCGCTCCAGCCCCCATAAAAAAAAAAGGGGGGAAAAATTTTTGTGATGTATAATAATACGCTATATGTAAACAAAAACAAACACAAACAAACATCGTCCTCCCGTTCATTGATTTGCTCGAGTGGGCCCAGTAACGTTTCCATTTTTGAGACTTGTTACAGTGTTTGGCATATTGAATATGGTCACAGATAGCTTGCCAGGCTTTGCCAAGCTGGTGAGATACTCTCAGTAGCTTGCCAGGTCCTCCGAGAGGAGCAGAGGAATCGAACCCGGCCTGGCCAGGCTGGCTGCGTGCAAGGGAAACGCCTTACCGCTGTGCTACACAGGTTTCAAAAACGTTTTAAATTTTTTTTGAAAAATCTTAATGCTTTATAACTATCGCAATTAATTAATAGTTTGGGTCTATTGACCATAACTTCTATCTTTTCATCTGTGCCCTCATTTTGTCCTTCATAATCCTTTCAATCTACTGACATGACTCATCCTCTTGAAAATGCTTGTGCCCACAGAAAATGCCTAGCCATAGCCAGGAAGGGGAAAAATAATAAAATTCTGTCAAAATTTTTCTTGTTGACCATTACTTTTAAGCAATTCATCAATTCATCATTAACAAGTATACTTTGTTTTGTTTCATAAGACATACCTTGAGTAATTTGTGGACCTTCAAACAAAATTCTCCTTTTAGAAACACCATCATTTTCTTATGTCATTGTCCCACTGCTTCAAAGCAAAATGAATGTTGATGCTAATATAAAAGGAATCTACATACAATTTTATGCAGATACGTGAATAGAATATTAACTTTAGTAACCCTATACAGTAGATAGAATGCTGGAGCACATACCTAGGAATATGAAGGGAAATAGACATACAGACATGCATAGAAAATAAAACATAAAAACTTTAAATAAAGGATATTGTCATCTTTTCCACAAACTTATCACGTTGATTTTCTGCCTCTGGGAACTTCTCGAGGTCACTTTCCAGATGAGAGATATGTTTTTCCATTGCCACAAGGTTACTCTTTAGAATTTGAGCTGAAACTAAATAATAATATGCAAAGTGGTTAGAATATTTTCTCAAGTATGCCATAAAAATTAAATAGTCCTCAACTAAGGTATTCTTTTAATGTAGAGAATAATTCCAGCATATATTTTCTTAATTTCTGTTCATAAAAATATTCTCTGTAAAATAAGCAAAAATATATAATACGGTACAGAAAATCATAATGATTTATATGAGATTGTCAATGTTCGTTTAGTCAATTAGCTCAGAAGGATTCATCTCTACATATACTTATTATAGAACAAATAATATTTGATTAAAATAAAATTGTCAGATGAATTCACCTATATGTAGGGTATGCAGAAGGAAACAGACAAAACTGAAGGAAAACAAAATTTTGAATTCAGAATACAGGAGAAAGGTCCAGAAGAGGAAGGAGAAGGGACACAATAGATCATGGCAGAAGCTTGGTGTTTTGGTGATGTTTTAGAGAATATATACTTTGAAAAGGCATGAAATTACATACAATACCCCCTCCCCAACCTCAGAACAGAATACAGTCATGAATACCAGTGTTACCACAATAAACATTAAAAAATCTTAAACTTGAAAAAAAGTCAATCTGAAATTCAAACAAAGCACTAAAGTATTTCTGATGGGAATAATAATAGAATGTACTCAAACTTGAATATTGAAAATAAAATAAGATACAAAGATATACCGAACACGATTGCCACTCAGTACCTCTATTGCAAACCACAATACCTAAAGAAAAGAGTGAGCAAAAGGGAATGCCCTGCCACAAGGCAGGGTGGGGTTGGAGGGGCAGGGTGGGGGTTGGGAGGGCTACTGGGATCATTGGTGGTGAAGAATGGGCACTGGTGGAGGGATGGGTACTCCATCATTGTATAACTGAAACCCAAGCATGAAAGTCTACAACTGTACCTCATGGTGTTTCACTAATACAAAAAATTCAAAGATATAGAAATAATGTATATTCTTAGATATAAAAACTGCTGTAAGATTGTATTGTGGTGATTGTACTTATGATGAAAAGATTTTATCTTTTCATCATGAAAATTAGTAAAAAATTAGTTTAATTAATTTTTATATTTTATCAAATATGAAAAGCCACTGTTGATAAAGAAAGAAAATTTTGAAGACCCCACAGCACACTCACATGCATGTTCATACTGACAAAACAACATTCCCCTTAAACACTATCATTAGATATTTTATATAGATTTAGATATTTTAAATATTCATAACACTTTCATCCTTTTTTTACTTTTCATTAAAAACATTTTTAATTATTATAGTCAAACTTTTACTAAACTCAATCTTTCCAGATTTCTCAAAATGATTCCTTTTTCACCGTCATTTTTTGTTTAACTTACAGTACTAAGTATTACAGTGCTACAATACTAAACATGACAGCATTATGTTATTAAGTATAAAATTTTAAAGTACTACATTTTTTATAGGAAACTTTTACATGAATGCCTCTAATTTTCAGCAGGGATATTTGATTTTTATTGACACATAAAATGATTATGGTTAACATTTGATTCATAATATATAGAATGCTGGGGTAATTTTATTGTGATATATTTGAGGACTTCCATGTATTTGGAAAGAAATGACTGAAAAATGTAAAACTATTTAAGCTTAATTTTATAATTATGCTTCAATTCCAAATAGCCATTTCTTCTCTTATAGACAAATATGTAAAAAGTATTTCATTGGTCTCTACTATGTATTTTTCTTCATCTAGGTATGAACATTCCTAAGAACCTCAGTTTATTTCTATATAAACTATCTCAATGAACTGCTTTTACATCAGGGATTTCAAAAAGATTAATCTGCTGATGACTGCCAAATTTCTATATACAATTTCCAACCTCTCATTTCTTTCTTTTTTAATTTTTTAATTTTTTTTATTTTTATTAGTGAAACACCATGAGGTACAGTTGTAGATTTATAAATTTCTGTGCTTGGGTTTCGATTATACAATGATCAACCTCTTATTTCTTATTCAGGAAACAATCTTTATTTTCATAAAATTAAATATCCAATTGGATGTGACATAGGCTAATAAGCAACATATTCAAACCAAAACCTAAAAATACTACTAGGAATATATCATTCTGGTTATACTTCTTTTCCCAATAGTACCACTGTTTGTCAATTGTCATTATTTTGATTACTGCAACTGTTCTTTATACAATCCATTTCACAAAAGCCTCTGGAGAAAAATTTTGTATTCTCTGAACACTGATGTCATCATATCTCGCGTTGATTCCATGAATTAAACTTAAAACCTCCAATTACATTTAAAGTTCCCAAAGCTAACATAGATACAGAATGCAATTAGAAACTAATTAATATGACTAATATCCTGAACACAAATAAACAGTGGTTGTAGGATATCATGCATTAACACATATCCACAGAAGACTGCAGTGTCATACTGGATATAAAAATAGCCACAGCTGCAAAGGTGAACATACAATTAAATAGCTTTTAAAAACTTGACACACAAGCATTTTTGTTTCTGGAAATCAAAGAAACAGTGATCTTTTGATAAACAGGTAAATTCTGCAGTGTATAGATGGAAAATGGCACATCTGTGCATGCTACTTCTTACTCTTTGTGCTGTGGAAAATAAGCTACAATTTCGAGCCTTTAAATATGCAAATCACATTTCATGCTGAAATCCCTCATTGATCTTCCAAAGACCAGCTCTCAGCTATATTTTTCAGCATGACATATAGAGAGAAATCTCAATTTTACCAAGATCATTTTTGTTTTACTGCATATCTACAGTTTCCTCTTTGTAAATTGTTAGCAGTGTTATCCTTTAATGAATAGTGAGGTACAGAAATTCTAATTTTATTTAAGATTTTATTCATTTAAGGGGGATAGTTCTCTTTATTACTTTTCTGAAACAGAAAAACTGTCTTATTTACATAATTGCAAACTGCTCATTTCTTTTCTCCATTAGCAGAATATTGCTGCCTAATAAAGGGTATGATCTTAGAAAGAAAAAAAGTGAGCATATGTTAATGAGTAGTTTTGGAACAATAAACAGAGTTAGAAACAGTTTTTTTTCCATCTTTTGTATTACCAAAAGTATGGTACTTACAAATTTTCAACCATAAATACAGAATCCAGTGTATGACCTTAATTGTTTAATGTCCCATGATTTGTATTTGCAGCCAAATGTTTAATAAGGAGCAAATCTATTGTGCGCCCCTAAGATTTACTTCCTGTCTCTACTGAGTTTTCAATTATAAATTCCAAGGTCAGGCTTTCATAATATGAATGGTTTAATGATTTAATTTAAATTAACTATCATTTATAGATGTAAATATTTAGCAAGGAATAACTGTGCTTTTAAAACCTGGATTGAAATTTTGCTTTCAGTTTTATTTATGTCTTATGTTCACTAACCTGAATATAACAAATGGGTTTGAGTTTCTGGTTTTGGCTTGAAATATTATATCCTTTCATAGCTGTATAGATCTCCTTATTATCCTTTAGTATTCACCATCATATACAACTTTGACTTTCCAAGAGTTTCAATGGAATAATGTATTGTTTTTAAAAGGATTAAAACATTTTTAAAGTTTGAAACATTTTTTTCAGGTTTAAAACAGTTCTTAATGTTTAAAACTACTTTTTTTAAGTCTTAGACTCAACTGGGTAAAATCCTGTTTAATTATTTCATTTTATTATTGAGATTGGGAGGCAACATACAATATAAGGGGGCCATGCGGTGCTTGAAACTTAATACAAAGCATGCATTCTGGCCCTTTTGGGACGGACGCTCTAACAATTTAATCATGAGAATTATATTCTTACTGCTTTCTTCAAGTTGAGACTTTTCCCCCCCTTTACTGGCACTGCACATAAGACTGAATAAACACTGAGTGAAAAAAAAACCAACATATTACTATCCAATGGTCTAATTGTTAGCTAAGAACAAAATATATCAAATCCTGCTGGGAACAAGAAAGACAGATAAATAAAGAAAAGGACAGTAAGGGAAGTTTACAGGACCTTCCTATGCTGGAACCCAGAAGTAGAATGCTGCCCCCAGCAGGGTCCTAAATCAGTTCTTTGTTTCCTTTCTTGGAAGGACTATCTGTTGTGAAAGCCCCTTATACAGTTGATGATTACCATGAATTAGGCCCTTAGATATGTAAATATCTAAGTAGGTGGAGACTGGACCAATGAACTTCTCCCTTTTGTAATTACTGGTTCTAAGCAATAAATACTGAATATGAAGGACAGTCTGGGCACTCAATCCAGCAGACTGTTAGCCCCCTCACCCCATGCTTTTTATCTTTTATTTCTGACTCTTTTCTTAATCCCCCTGGTGTCACTGCTTCAGGTCTATTCAGCTGAAGAAGGTCCCTGAAAAGTCAATATATGTAAACAATATAGGGAAATAGTACACCACTGATATATCATGGTTATTCAAACCCCTTCAATGAGTCTCAAGTCACTGTCACTGTCCTCCCATTGTTCATCGATTTGCTCGAGGGGGCCTAGTAATGTCTCCATTTTGAGAATTTTAACAGTGTTTGGCATATTGAATATGTCATGGGAGCTTGCCAGGCTTTGCCAGGATCTCCGAGAGGGGTGGAGGAATTGAACCAGGCTCTGCTAGGCTGGCCCTACCGCTGTGCTATATTCTACTGTCATAAATAGCTAAGGGATTTTGCTAATCCTGAATATATTAGATGATTATACTAGGTGAATTAATGAGTATGATATATATGTCACATTTTATGTGTTGTTATACAATGTTCATATATATTCATTATGGTTATTGCATATGTATTATATAGATTTCCATATTTTTTCCCTTCATTTTATTTCGTGAAAGCATCATGATTTAAAAGTTATTCATAGCTGGGTTTTAGATATACAATGTAACCCATTGCTTTATTCCCCTTATTTCTAAACATTAGTGTCCTTAAAGTAATTCTGATCATAAGAGTCATAGATGAACCCCTTGCAATTCATTTTC